TGATAGGTTTTAAACCATTATATGAAAAACATAGTGCTGAAACTATTTATTTTACAATTCTTGAAGTTTTGCAAGAATATTTATTAACTGATAGAGTTGTAGCGCTAACGCTTGATAATGCAGCTGCTAACACCGCGGCAATATCTTTATTTGAAAAGAAATTGGATCCGCTTGGTGAAGGCAAATTTTATCACCAGAGATGTGCTTGTCACATCATCAATTTGATAGTTAAAGCAGGTTTAGATGCTATACATTCAAGGATTGAGAGGGTGCGTAGAGCTATCGGATTTATCGTCGGCGGTAGCAATAAAAGATGGCAGGAGTACGTCAAATATTGTAAGCAAGAGGACCCACCGGTTCGACCTTTGAAGTTATGTACAGACATACCTATCCGTTGGAACTCTACCTACTTGATGTTGGAAAAAGCTTTGCCAACCGCGAGACAAATTACAGATTTCGTCAACCGGAAGAACTATCTAGAGGAAGTTGTCAACTATGATGATTGGGCGGTTTGTGAACTTTTTTATTCATTTCTTAAAATTTTTTATGATGCTACTAATACATTAAGTGGTATTTATTATCCAACTACTAATTTAGTGTTAGATATTTTAGTTCAAATTGCTAAAACTTTTGATCAATATAGACATGATAACATTTTTAGTGAAATTGTTTCAAGTATGGAAGAAAAATATAAGAGATATTGGTTAGATATTCCATTCTTATATGGATTAGGCCTTTTTCTAGATCCTAGGTTTAAATTATCCGTAGTTAACGGTGTAATTACTGAGTTAGGCCATTATTTAGGACATGATTATACGTCTTATTTGACTGACTTTAAACACAAATTGGATAGACTTTTTTCTTTATATGAGAACAGATACAATGGAAGTAGAAGTGGAAGTGGAAGTGGAACGTCTAGGAGAGGCGATCAGGACCTTGATGTAGCCCCCCCTCAAGGATCGAGCAAGTGGGCGTATGTGGGACGTGGCGGAAGCTCCAGCTCTAGCTCCAGCTCGTACATACATAGACCAAATGAGATGACTCGCTACCTACAGGTGGACTTGACCTTTATGACGATGAAGGAGCAACTTGACATGGATATTCTTCAATGGTGGAACCAACAAGAAAGTCAATTCCCCATTATATCCCAAATGGCACGTGACATTTTATCTGTGCCGGTTTCTACAATTGCATCCGAGTCAACATTTTCAACGAGTGGTCGGATTGTTGAAGACAGAAGATGTTCTTTAACCGATGAGATGATTGAAGTGATAACGTGTTTACGGGATTGGACTCATGGAGAAAGAAGACTACAACAGCACCCTGAAGATCCCGAACTACTCGAACTCTTTAGGAATACAGATTTGAATAATGTAACTAGTGTTGACGATGAAATTGAAGATGAATAATTTAATAAAAAAATTATTTAATTGTTTATTTGTGAAGCGTGAATGTGTGAAATGTGAATATTATATTTATGTTAAAAATTAAAACTAACTATTAATTTATTATTTTTTAAAATTAATTAAATTTTTAGAAACTTACTAATCAACCCCTAAAAAATACTAAAAACCCCCTATAAAATTTCGTTTTGCCCCCAAAATATAAAAAAAAAATTGAGGGGGGAAAATATAATTTTCCAAACCCCATGGGATCGGTCCTAGGATCGGTCCTGGGCCTATGGGACCAGTCCCGACCAAGCCTAAGGCCTGGTCCGGGTCCTGATTTTTCTCATGGGCCTGGGACCGGTCCCAAGCCCATGAGAGACTGGTCCCATTTAGGACCAGTCCCAAGGGACTAGTCCCAAACGGGCCCAGGCCTGGGCCCGCAAGGGACCGGTCCCTTGCCCAGGTATAGTCACGAAGGTCGACTAAGTACACCTTCACGCAACGTCTACTCTCTAAGCTAAGCACTCCTTAACTTAGAGATTGGGGGGCAAACTGTTAGGGCCAAAAAATGTCTTCGACCCAAATATGCCCAAAGACGAAGACACCTTCAGCAAAACTTGGAGCCATGGCCCAATTCCGATTGGGCCTACAATAGAGTTTGCATACCAGGTCCGCTCGGTACACCTACCCAATTGCTCATTACTTGGACCCAATCAGCGAAGGCTCGATTCGTTTAGGCCTCATCACCAGTTTATCTGGGCCTAGGCCCTTCGATCCTAGACCACCTTCTGGACTTTGGATCTACTTGGAACTCAGGGTTGCCTACTTACTCCATTACTACCTAAACTCTTTCGAAGAGGTCCATTTCTACCCTAATTCGTCTAAGATTTGTGTCTTAGACCCGCTGGGACTCCCTTTCCCACTAAGGTAAGGGAGTCAAAGGTTTTCATTTTTTATAAAACCTCAACCCCAAGGACTCACAGTCCTACTAGGACTCGAAGATCCTACAATTGCTATTTAAACAGAGGTCAACCCTCTCACAAGGGACACAGACATTATACCTTCAAACCCAGTAGTTCTCACTCTTGGTAATCTTCTCTTTCCCTAATCCTCACTAAATTATCCTCATTCAGCCTTGTTGACTTGAACGTTGGAGTACCTATGGAAAACACCACTTTGGTGTTTTCTGTTTGATTTATGCTTGTTTCCTCACGTATGCAGGTACAACGGATTGCTGGTGGCCTCAACTTCACGAGATCATACCCTGTTTCTGTAAAGATAGATTTTTTGCTTCTACAATTACCAAGCCACTGTATGATAAGTTAAATGTTCTCATATACGTGGAGCTCACATGGCCAACAGTTGAAGAAAGAAAACAAATTGGATTCTTACAAGTTTTGCAATGAAACCAGTAAGTCCACTCCCATGACCCACATGGTGTCCCAAGACAAGTCTTTTTCCTAAGTACTCCGCAACAGAACACCTCTTGTCGTGAATTGAGTACGGGGGACATGATAGATATACAAGTCTATTGTCCGTACTATTGCAATTGTTGAGTTCACACGAAGCAAATATAATTTTTCTAACCTACCGGGGCCTATTTGACCATGGTGGCTCTCTGAATTTAGGGCTATAGAATTGTGACAAATGTCCAATATATATATATATTGGACATTTGTCACAATTCTATATCCATACATACCATATGCGTGAATTTCTCTCATTAATTTATCTTTGCATGCACTGCCTTCTCTAACCACTAGTGCTACTAATGACTCTTAAATAATATTATAAGTTAAAGGAAAAGGAAGCCACAATAGCTTAGTCAATATCTTAATTTTTTATATTTTTTTAATGATCGGAGTTTTTGGTTCAGTTTACGCGTTTTTCAACTAATCTCTCAAGACTTTAGATTTACAGTTTGGATAAGTGTTCCATTGATTATCTCTATTAGCAATTGAGGAGGGATTTTAACTCAATACTTTTTTATTTATATACTTAAGAGTCCTTATCGAACCACTCTTTTATCCAGAGATAGTTAATATCTTAATTTAGGGATGGTAGAATCGCGTTTCTATGCATTTTATGTAAAGAAATTAAAAGACCAAATGCATATCAGGATATGTATCAATTCTAAACTGAAAGTAATACAAAACTAACTGGATTTATTTATTAAGAATTGATCCCGGAAAGATGGAGAAAGAGAGCGATTTAATCAATGTATTCATAAATTTTGGGAGCAAGAGAGATTTTACATGTATCATTAATTAATCATGAATTTGTTATTAGATGTAGCATTAATTACTTATTTAATTAAAAAATATATATAAGCCATTAATTAGATAATTAAATGAAAGGGGACAATCAATATTAAATCTCATGAAAGTTTTACAACTATGAACTTATGATTATCAAAGTTGATTTGATTCCCTTTATGATTTCGTGATTTCGCAATGCATTGATTTGATATTCATAAAACTTCGACAAAACTGTAAGCATTATTGGATCAATTGATTACTGCATGATTTACAATTTACAGCCTTTAAAATCTTCCTCATATTTCAAAAAAGTTGCATATGGAACTCTTTGAAACAAAAAATTAATTCCTTTATCCATCAGATTTTGAGATTTCTAGATGGATGGATTACATTTTCTTCTATAAGTATTGAGTAACTCATGGTTTGCTTATCAGTCAAACCTATATATGGTCTTTGTATTAATTAGATTCCAATGACTTATCACTCTAGATAAGATTAAAAGTATTATGCTTGATTTAATTTAAAAACACTAGAAAATTCTAAAATGGAAGTCCTTATTGATTTTGAAGCTTTATGAAGATTTGTGTGTATCTTTTGGCCTCAACAGAACTTTAAGTTTTTTTTAGACTAAACCCCAATAAAGAGTTATTGAACTATATGACGTTGTTATGTTTTACTCAAGATAAGTGAATTATAGACTCTAAGGTGTATTATTCAAGAGGTCTTAAGTTTGATTATTATTGGTTGTTAAAAGTGTGACCACGAGATGGTTTATCCAATCGTTAACTTCAAGGTCTTGGGAGATTAGTTATGGTATGCACAAATTGACTTAAACACCTCGACCATCAAAGAAAAAATAATAATATAAAAATGCGATTATAATTAACTTGTGTTTTGGAAAGAATGTTTCAATTTCAGAAAAATCCTTCACAGGAAATCATGTCATTTCATAAACATTAAGGTTACGGCTCCATGATTGCAAAGTGATTACAATATGTTTCAAGGTATTTTATGTTGGGTTTATTTTTATGGTAACGATGATTCTGTAAACTCCAATTTTATGGTGATCTGGCCAAAAATAGTGATGAGACATTACTTTAAAAAAGTTTTCGGTAAATTAAATTCAACAAGCCAATCAATCTTTTACTTTATTATGAACATAACACAAATAAACTAATATTACTGTCAAACAAGTTTTTAAGCAGATCTGAACTCTTTCCATTTTGTAATCAAGTCAGAGAAAAGAACAGGAAATTAAAATAAGCCACACATATTTATACAAGATAAAATACATAATATTAATTCAAAGTAATAAATATATTACAAAGATGAACATCACTGTTCTTGATTTCCATGTACATAATAAAAGTGAAATGAACTGCTGCTCCTAGACAGAGGCATAAACTCATTTACAAAAGCATTTAACCCCCAAAACACTTTCTCTTCCTCTTCTCTTTTCTTTGAGGTAAACGAAAAGCTAAACAGCTAAGATTTCTACTGAACCTCTTACTCAAAAACATTAGAAACTCAAGAAAACAACCTCATAACATTAACATAAAAGAAAAGTAACAGAGTCAGACACACTAGTCAACCAATGAGGCAATGACCCATGGTCATACTCCTTAAAAAGGAGCGCTGAAAGACCGCCTGATCTTCTGGTACAAAGGACGGGCTGCCTCTGAAGCCTCGAGAAGCTGCATTCCATTTAAAAAATTAACATATTATATAAAAAATATGAGTAAAATATAGTAGTGCAACTGTGCATATTTTCATAATTAAAAAAAAAAAAAAAAAAATTGCTACATGAATTTTACCTCCTTCTCCTTTTGCTTCAATTTCTTGTTCTCCTCTCTGAGAAATGTAATTTCAGCCATGAGTTGGCTATCGTAGGCCTGTTGGAACAGAAACCAAAAGAAGAAAAAAAAATTTTAACTTGCTGAAAAAATACGTGAAAGAAATTAATTATTTGAGTAGAGGTCAGTTGAAGAAGAATACTAACCTTCCTTCGGATCCTTGTCCTTTCGGAAGCTGCCCGGTTCCTGATCATTCGTTGAAGACGGGTCTCAGCAGCGGTTCCATCGAACCGCCTGCGCCTCCGTGGAGTTGGAGCAGAAGAATCCTCATCTTTGTTATGGTCGTCCCAAACGAGTAACGGAGGCGCAACTGTGAGAGGAGGAGGCTTCGGAGCTAAAGCACGGGGGAATATTTGGCAAAGCTTACCATCAGTCCCTGCAGGCTTCATGGTCCACGAAGTTACTAAGGGTGACAATGGAACGCCAAAAAGATCAGGGCCAAAGAAGTCCGAAAGAATGAAATTTGGGTTAGGTGGGGAATATGAAAGGTTTCCAAGAGTTACAAATATACCTCCATGAGACATTTGATTATTAGGAGCTCTGTAACAATAAGCATAATCGTCGCAATTATTAAGAGGCACAACATTTTTGCCATACAACAGTGTTCCACGGTCTTGGGTTGTAAAAAGGAAAGCGCAGACTGAAAATGGAAGTTTGGGAGAGGAGATGAAGCAGAAGATGAGTTGGGAAGGGAGGGATGGATCACATCACTCTTTTGAATGACAACCGGAGACAGAGAGCAGGACTTGAGGAGAAAGCTAAACTGGTTGTGATAATTTGTGAACGCCCAGCTGCATCTTTTATAGTACCTTGGCGTAGATAATTACGACCTCCTGATCTGAGTAAATTAAATGTATTTAAACATGAATACTAGATATACATACAAAATGTGTATATATATAAATACACAATAAATAGATGAATTACTATAGAAAAAATAGAAGATAGTACTGAAGAGGGAGAGTACTGGTACTTTTAATAATTAAAGTTATTGAAGGACTAGACTAAAGGTGGCAGTGGACCGTGCTATGTCGAGTTAAAATTTTCACGGTCCACCCGTGTTATGAGCCTTATCGTGTTGTGTCGTGCTATGCCATCAAAACTCAAAACCCATAGCATGACCCCATGGGCTGCGCCGCATGGGCTTTTCTCAAAAAATTAATTTTTTTTTTTATTTTCTTAAAATTCGTAAACAGTATCATGCCAGCCTACATGCCAAATCTTAAGTTCACAACACGGCCCACATGGCCCATAAGCCATGACACGGCATGAAATTTTCGTGCACGAAACCAACTACCCTTACCAATAACATGAGAACATTTGTTGGTCGTACAAATTATTGTTGGAAGAAGATAAAACAAAAAAGCAATGTATTATTTATGCATGACCTTGAATACAATGAACTGCGTAACATATTGATTTTTTTTTTTTTTTTAAGTGTGCGGGTCAATCTGTTCACATCTTAACTAATCTTTAGGATTCATTGAACACTTTATATAAGCTTAAAGGATCAAATAAGTTACAATGTATTCTACAAACCTAAAAGATCAGATAAATAAGTCATAAAGTAATAGGATTAGATACGCTCAAATCTATTAGTATATAACAAAGGGTAATCCTCCCTTTCAACAATACCTTATTAGGTGAGAAGTCAAACTTACCTCAAATTTTATCAATAGGTAATCCCAAGAATCAAAGAACTCAATAAAATGAAGTTATAAAGTGATAGGTAATCTGTAATCTTAAGAATCAAATTACTCAATGAAACGAGTAAACCTACCAAACTCTAGAGTTAACATCATGCATCTCCCTTCTTCTGTTATTCAACCAGCAGTCACATCGTATTGGTCATCATCTTCGGATGAAAATCTATATAGAAATAGAAAAAGCATCCATGTGCCAAAAGATCATTTTATAATAAGTATAATCATTAACTTAATCCAATGCTATATTTAGTTACTTTGTTGAACTCTCGACTCAATGCAGATCCTACCATCTTGAAAAAGACAACTTTTGTATAAAAAATTAAACTTACAGTGAAGTGAATGAATTAATACTAATTTTCTGGTTGGAAAAGTACGTTGCTGAGCCTTCATTTTTCGTTATAATAATTAAGAGAAGAAGGGTTTGGTCCATCTTTATCATTAAAATATAGTATATTTATTCTTTGCTTATTTATTAATCTTTTCATTCTCCCGTTTCATATGAGGAAACTAAAACTTCTTTGTTTATAATATAAAGATGGAGTAAACAACTTTTTCTCACCCAAGGTTTGCCTTAATGACACTTTCCCACCTAAAAAGTTTCAAAATACTATTTTCTCACTCAAAGTTTATATTACATTAATATCTAAAATATACTTCACTTTTTCAGTCGGCGTTCGACGAGTTATCAAGAGCCAGGGTAAAAGAGGTTTTGTAGAGTAGAAACTAGTGGGTTGAATGGTGGTGACCGATTGATTATTCACTATCGGAATTAGCCGAAAATCAGCTAAGAACAGGAAATACTAACTTCAGGATGACCGATAATTAGCAAGAAATCAGGTGCTGAAGTAAGAGAGATTTTGTAGAAAGGAGACCGGGGGTTCAAACGGTGGTGACAAAGAAAATTTTTGCCACCGCAATCGGCGAGAATAAGCTTTGGTAGTAACAGAATATTAACTTTGGGTGGAAAAGTGATATTTTGAAGCTTTTGGGGTGAGAAGTCATTAAGGCAAACCCTGGGTGGGAAAAAAGTCCTTTACTCTATAAAGATATCAAAGTTCAAAACCCTTTTGGCCTTTTCCAACTAAATTGAATTTAATGTATTAATCATCACTCTTAATTAGACTGCACTATGACGCATTTCTAATGAACAGTATGATGGACTTCGGTCTCCCAAGTTCGAGTTCTCTTAATGGTAAAAGAACAAGAAAATAATCTACCACGATCTCCCGAGTTTGAGTCATCATGGCTGTTAATAGAGGTGGTTATTAGAATTCTGATCTGATCGATAATTTTAGGGTCTCAAAGGATTAGTTAAGGTACATGCAAGCTAGTCCGAACATCATTGATCATTAAAAAAAAAAAAAAAGGTGACCTTAGAAGAGCTTAGTCGAATGACAAATAATTATTATTATAGTTCCTTTCTTTTTTTTTTTAAAAAAAAAAAATCATATTGCAAAATAATTTTTTCAATACCACAATTAGTGTTCTTAAGACTTTTAATAAAACTACAAAAATAACCCAACCATCCTGAGCTTGAAAATGCTTTTATAAAACCGTAATCTCATATTTCATCTTTTACTTTAACTCTTGAACTCCCACATCGATCAAGTAACTAAAAACTTTACAATGATTCATGGGCCAGGGCATCGAGCAACAAATCTAAACCAAGCTTGTTTAAGGTAAACACAACTAGACAAGTGTCACAATAAGAAGAGAACTTTTGGCGGTGGTCAATTTTATCATCTACGTTCCCACAGTTGAACGAGCCAACCAAACATGGAAACTTCTTCACAAATTACATGAAAAAAAAAAAAGGATGAGAAGGGACATGCCGCCTGGCTTCAAGGGTAGTTCTATTACACTATCTCCAACCAAATATCAAATTGGTATAAGTTTTATATTAAATTAGTATGATTTTTAGTGTATTTTACTAAAACATCTCTAATTTATTATATCAAATATTACACTAAAAAAATATTCCTTAAAAATTTTTTTTTCTTTTTATTTTTATTAATAATCAACAATTAATTTATTTCACTAATTATTATATATATATTAATTAAATATTGTGAATGATATTTTTATTAAATAATTACTTTGAAATCATCTAATTTAATAAAATTAAGCATTTATTAATCAAATAAATATTAATTTAATTTAAAAAAATTACATCAATTAAAAATGACACAAAAAAAAAAAAAAAAAAAAAAGACAAACTTGGCTTTGGCAGAATATCGAGAAGATAACAAAATTTTATTTGAGGATTTGAATTCCATAACCAATCCAAGCCTACGTGAGTTTCTTTCAAAATGAACAATAAAGAATTATGCAAAAAAGAGCTTAACAACAAGGTCAAGAATCTCAAAATAAACAATAAAGAATTATGCAAAAAAGAGTTCAACAACAAGGTCAAGAATCTCAAAATAGCTCTAGTTCTTTCTAATATTTTGATAATCTTAGAGGATCTGGAACTAATCTACCGGAATACTAAATTGTTATTTTAGTTTATGTTGTGTTTTCTTTTAATTTTAGTGTTTTTAAATTAGTATTAATTTTTATTTTGAGTTATTGTAGTTTAATATTTGCATTGAATAAAGTTTTATTTTTAATTTTTCATCATTTTTTTAATTATATAATTATTATGAATTTATTATTATAAATATTAATATAAATAATAATCAAATTAACATAACTACAAATAACAAAAATAAGAAAATAAAATATATTTTATAGTAGATGAATAATGCCACACCAAATTGGTGTGGATGAACAGTGTTACACCAAATTTGGCGTGACACTTTTTACTTACACCAATTTGGTATAGTTTTTGGTGTTGGGTTGGAGCGCATTTTCCACACCACTTTGGTGAAATGGCATTGGGTTGGAGATGCCCTTATGCGGTAATAATCTCTAGCTCGAGACTAATTAGGAAAGCTTGGAATACGCTTCCGCTCGAAGTAGGTACCGAACTCAAGGGAAAGGACAAACCAAGGAAAGCGCAAACAATCAACAAACGTATGCGAGCATGACATTTGGTGAGGCAGGCCCACCATGCGAAAATATTGCGTTTGGTTTATTATTTTGGATAGGATTTTGGGGATAGTATTGGATAATTGAATATGAGAGTATTACGAGGTAAAATTTAAAAATTTATTAAAAAAACCCCTAAGTTTGCTAATTTAATAAATACCCCAATATATAAAAATATGTAAAATGACAAAAAGACCCCCACCACCTGCAGTGCCAGATTCCGGCCACTACCACCGAAATCTGGCTGGAAAATTGCTTAACGACACATACCGACCGGATCTGGCCGATATGGCGTCGCTATGGCCTTTTTCGGCCAGATCCACCACGGATCTGGCTGGAAAACACTAGATCTACAGCCATATGTGGCCGTCGACGGCCAGAAAAGGCCAAAGGATCTGGCTGGAAAAGGCCAGATCGATGAATTACCGGCCAGTTCCGGTCGGTAATTCACCGTTGTGGCAGATTCCGGCTACCACCGACGGTGGTTGCCAGAATCTGGCAAGTATGGGTCGCAGGGGTGTTTTTGTTAATTTTAAACTTTTTTTCAAGGGGTATTTAATGAAATTAATAACCTTATGGGGTCTCAAAGTAATTAACAAAATAGGCTAATATTTATGGAATAATGTACCAAACATTATTTGGAGAATATGATTGGGAATATGGGCAGAAATAATAAGCCAAACGCAACCTTTTTGTTCGTCCAAGTCACCTTACCATGTATAAGCTGCATGCCCAGATCGACGGCACGTGGTCGAGCGAACTCCACACGCCTTTCATGCAGCCAAGCTAAAAGGAAACTTGTAAAGGTGCCTATTGTCAGAGGGAACACTATCATTCCCTACTAAGTAGAGGCATGTGAGTCTTCGGCCACCATACGATATATGACAACCCAGCTAACGCACCTGTTATCAAGACACTCCTCGGTCTCCATATAAATATAAAATATAAAAAAGGGGCCAAAGGGGGGGATCCGATCCATTTTTTCTCGTCTCAGGCCCCAACTCCAAGAAAAAGGA